TAGCAATGATCTCCTATTTTAACAGAAATAATAGGCATGCCTACAACAGGTCTATGTTTATTTTTAGTATCAGGTCTAGCAATTCTAGCAGTTTCATCACAGAAGTAAATAACATGTCCATCAATATTATCAGCCAAGAGATCCTTAACCATAGCAATATTAGGTTCAACTTTAATTTGCTCGGGGGGTTTGGGTGTCTTAATATTACTTTTGTTAACCATAGTTGAAGCTTTAGCATGATCCTTTATTCTAACAGGGAAATGTGGTTTCTCAATATAAGCAGTAGGAACAACAGGATCATTATAAGTGATAGTCTTTTCTTCAACTTTAATAGGTGCAACTACTTTTACTTCAATGGGAGGATTATATTTAAACCACTTCTCCTTGGGGAGATCAACAAGAGTAGCAAAGGATTCACAGAAAGAAGCTACTATCTCAGAGTCAAGTCCATATTTAGTGCTAAATTCACGAAAAGTATCGGTATCCATAAAAGATTTAACACAATCAAACTTAGGTGTTGTACCTAACTCTTTACCTTTGTCTACATCCCAATCTTCAGAGTTGCGTTTAATTCTCTCCAATAAATCCCATTTGAATTCAATAGTCCTCGTCATAAAAGAGCCAGTACAAGAAGTATCGAGCGTGGAGCGATTACTAGGAGAAAGCCGAGCATAAATTTTTTGAATAATTATTTCTTTTGAGAGCTCATGATTGGGGCATGAATATAACATTGACTTAAGCCTCTCCCAAGCTTGAGCGATGCTTTCTCCTTCGCGAGGCCAAAAATTATATATATAATTACGATCATGATTAACAAGATGCATAGAATAAAACTTTTGATGAAATTCCAATTTCAAACGTTTATAGTTCCATGATCCCATATCATCACATAGCCTAAACCATGTAAATACCTCTCCCTTTAAAGATAAAGGGAAGACCTTCTTCTTGATAACATCCTCGGGCATACCTGCAAGCTTAAATAATCCACAAACTTCATCCAGATAGATTAGATGCAAATCGGGATGTAATGTTCCATCACCTGTGAAAGGATCAGCTAGCAGTTTCTCTATCAGACCCGAAGGGATTTCAAAGTAAACATTTTTAGTAGGTTCAGTAGGTTGAGGAGCAACTCTTTGCTCTACTGGTCGGGGTGAAGATACCCCAAACAAGCCCCTCAAAGGATTAGGTTCCATAGTAACAAGTAACAGTAAATTTCAGCAAACTATATAAATTTTTCCTTACCAAATTCCACCTACCAAAGGCGCTTCACTCCCCGGCAACGGCGCCAGAAAAGAGTCTTGATGACCCACAAGTGTAGGGGATCTATCATAGCCTTTTCGATAAGTAAGAGTGTCGAACCCAACGAGGAGCAGAAGGAAATGATAAGCAATTTTCAGCAAGGTATTCTCTGCAAGCACTGAAATTATCGGTAACAGATAGTTTTGTGATAAGGTAATTTGTAACGAGTAACAAGTAATAAAAGTAAATAAGGTGCAGCAATATGGCCCAATCCTTTTTCTAGCAAAGGACAAACCTGGACAAACTCCTATATGAAGGAAAGCGCTCCCGAGGAAACATGGGAATTATCGTCAAGCTAGTTTTTATCACGCTCATATGATTCGCGTTCGGTACTTTGATAATTTGATATGTGGGTGGACCGGTGCTTGGGTACTGCCCTTACTTGGAAAAGTATCCCACTTATGATTAACCCCTATTGCAAGCATCCGCAACTACAATAGAAGTATTAAGGTAAACCTAACCATAGCATGAAACATATGGATCCAAATCAGCCCCTTACGAAGCAACGCATAAACTAGGGGTTAAGCTTCTATCACTCTAGCAACTCATCGTCTACTTATTACTTTCCAATGCCCTCCTCTAGGCCCAAACAATGGTGAAGTGTCATGTAGTCGACGTTCACATGACACCAATAGAGGAAAGACAACATACATCTCATCAAAATATCGAACGAATACCAAATTCACATGACTACTTATAGCAAGACTTCTCTCATATCCTCAGGAACAAATGTAACTACTCACAAAGCATATTTATGTTCGTAATCAGAGGGGTATTAATATGCACAATGGATCTGAACATATTATCTTCCACCAAGTAAACCAACTAGCATCAACTACAAGGAGTAATCGACACTACTAGCAACCCACAGGTACCAATCTGAGGTTTGGATACAAAGATTGGATACAAGAGATGAACTAGGGTTTGAGATGAGATGGTGTTGGTGAAGATGTTGATGGAGATTGACCCCCTCCCGATGATAGGATCGTTGGTGATGACGATGGTGATAATTTCCCCCTCCCAGAGGGAAATTTCCCCGGTAGAACAGCTCCGCCGGAACCCTAGATTGGTTTCTCCAAGGTTCCGCCTCGTGGCGGCGGAGCTTCGTCCCGTGAGCTTGCTTATGATTTTTTTCTCGACGAAAAACTCCATATAGCCAAAAATGGGCATCAGAGGGCCACCAGGGGGCCCACGAGGCAGGGGGAGCGCCCAGGGGGTAGGGCGCGCCCCCCACCCTCGTGGATGGTGGGTGGCCCCCCTCTGGTACTTTCTTCGCTTAGTATTTTGTATATATTTTGAAAATAACTCCCGTGGAGTTTCAGGACTTTTGGAGATGTGTAGAATAGGTCTCTAATATTTGCTCCTTTTCCAGTCCAGAATTCCAACTGCCGGCATTCCCACTCTTCATGTAAACCTTATAAAATAAGAGAGAATAGACATAAGTATTGTGACATAATGTGTAACAACAGCCCATAATGCGATAAATATCGATATAAAAGTATGATGCAAAATGGTCGTATCACTTGTCACCGCTCGTGTCCGTAACACCAGGACAGTGCAATGGGCCCTCATCAATAACGCGTGGGCTCAGGATGTTCGCGGAGACATTTCATTTATGGCACACATCCAAGTGGCCAATCTATGCCACACGATCAACACAGTGTATAGGAATGAAGAACAACCTGACCTATTTCATTGGCCTGCAGATGAAAAAGGGACCTACACAACGAAGTCCGTCTACTCAAGCTTGTGCCTGGGCTTGACTAGATGTTGGACGGCGGGTTGCATTTGGAGGAGCTGGGCGCCTTTGCGGTGTAAAATCTTTGCGTGGCACACCGTTCAATATCGACTGTGGACCTCGGATCGAAGGGCCGGACACGGACTTCAAGATGAGCCATCGCCTTATTTTCACCTGCCTACAAGACGAGGATAACGTGGACCACATCCTCACACAATGTCTGTATGCTAGAGAAGTGTGGGATCGATGCTTCGAGGCCCTACGGATCATGTTTACAGATTGGTGGCTTGATAAGAGAAAAAAATTCACCAGACGTATCAAGCGTGGATTCGACTTGTTTGTGATTGGTACCGCTTGGTCGTTGTGGAAGCAGAGGAATGTCAGGGTGTTCAACAGAATTCATAAGTAGAGATCACCACCACAACTTGTTGAGCAGGTGTTTCTGGAGGTCCGGGACTGAATGCTGGCTGGCTTCAGTGTAGGAGGATTAGATCCTTTCGTGAGAGTGACTAGTCTTGTTTAGCTGATGTTGATGTGGGTTTATGTCAGTCGAGATGTTCGCATCTTGGTCGTGCACCTTTGTTTTGAGCATCAATACAGACACAAGCGCTTATATACATGCGCATACACTCACCCCTATGAACGCACACACGCACACCCTACCCCTATGAGCACCTCCGAGAGACTGAGCCCGTAGGCGCCTCGTCATCGACGGTAACATCTCCTCCCACTGAAAGCGCATCGCCGGAAATCCTGAAATAAATCCAGAAATAATGCGAGCACCAGGATTTGAACCCTGATGGATTAGGGATACCACTGTCCACCTAACCAATTCAACCACAGCGGCAGATTGATTCGCGGTCATGCACCTTGTAATTAAACTTTCTGCCTTCTACATATATATGGTACGTCATCGCCGTACGTCTCGAGAATAATAAAAAAGCTAAAACCGGCGTACGGTCGAGTCGGTCCATCGCAGCCACGTGTCAAGCAGAGTCCTGCTCGCACGTTGCATCCTGCGGCGACGCGCGCCATCAGGTCTTTGCCGCAACCTAGGTACAGATGACCACCGTGTGTCCTTCTCGGACACGCGCGCTGCTCGTCGAGGGCAGCCCGTGCAGAGGGGCGCGCACGGGACCGTCTCGGCACGCTCTGTCCCTCGCTGGCCACGCGCCAAGCTCACGCCTCGCCACAGCAGTCCTCCCCGACCACGTGTGCTCCGCCCGTGCCCACGAACCGCCCAGCGTGGCAGAGTCTCCCCCCAATAGCAAACTCTGGAATCCTCCCCCTCTCCTGAATCGTACGCGCGCCCCGATCGATATAAGCGCTCGAGCGCGGACTGTTGTGCACGCATCGATCTCCGACCTTGAATCTCTATACCCATAACGACAGCGTCGAACACATGCGCGACGACGGAGCGACGACAATGCCGCCACGGTCGGCGCCGTCTCGGCCGCCTCCGTGGGAGGCGCTCTCCCTCGTGGCCAACTTCCTCGATGCGGCGTCTCTCGCCGCGGCTTCCTGCGTCTCCACCTCCTGGCACGCCGCCTTCTCCGGCGACCACCTCTGGGCGCGGCTCTGCCGCTGCCACTACCCCTCCGCCATCGGCCTCCTCCCCTTGTACAACAACGTCAATGCCGGGGACCGATGCTCCTCGCCGCACCGGCGCCTCTTCGCGCTGTTCCACGCCGCCGCCTCCCGCGGCCGCTCGCTCCCAGCGCCTCGCCTGGCCCTCGACGACGTCACATTCGCCATCGACCTCTTCGCGGCCGGCGGAAAGAACACGCTCTCGTTCGCCGTCGCTGCGTCCGACGCCGGCGTAAAGAAGGCCCCCGGGGGCGTGTTCCAGTTCGCGGTGGACGTGAGTGACCGGAACGCGGTGGCCGGGCCGGGCAAGCACTGGAGCGTGCGGTGGACGGCTGTTCGGACGGGGCACGGGGTCGCGCCAGCTGCGGCGATCGTGATGATGGACGCCAAGGTGCCAGCGTCCAGGGCCGGAGCGCTCAGCTGTGGCGTGAGGGGGGAGGCGTGGGCCACAGTGGCGCTGCCTGCGCCGGGATGCGGCGGCGGGAAGCTCGAGGCGGAGGTCGTGGTCGAGGTGAGCGGCGAGGACAGGCTGGTGGAGAAGGTGAGGATCGGGGTGTTGTTGGATTGTAGGTACGTGAGCGTCGACGCGGGGCTCAGATACTTGCAGCATTTCCTCTTGTAATACGTGTATATGTGCTGGTGGCCATGGTTCTGTTTTAGCTTATCTGTTTGCATACGTGTTCGTGTTGTAACCTGCAATCGTTGGAAACGCAATTCTTTGGGGACTGCTCAGTCCATGATCGATTATGTAAGGGTAGTATCTTCACCAATTGTGTCTAAGAATGCTTGATTCACAAGAATTTTCCTTTTTATGCGGATAATAATGGAGCAGTCTGATGGAAACATTCCATAGGTAGAGTTTCCCCTTTTGGACAACATATCGAAACAAGTCGAGACGGTCAAATCAACAAACCAAATAAGACAGTAAGTAATTAATTTATAATGAAAACTCATAATTATATAACTTCTCAAGCCTTGAGAAGGAAATATAACAACATTGTTCATTACACTAAATTATTCATGAGCACATCTGGCATCATCCTTAAAAAACCATATGACTAGATTAGATAATCATAGCTGCCGCCGGGTCTAACGGAGAAGCATTTCGACAGTCGGCCATGCAATCATCCAAAGAAGCATAACAAAGATGGTTCGCAAAACAACAGAAACATATGGAAGGGTCTTTGCAGTTTTGGATCGCGGAAGCACAGACCATTTAACTTGATCTTAACGTTTTCTACGCCTTCCATGGTTCTGCCTATAGAGGATAATAAAACAATTAATATTCATATTAGTCTCTGGTTATCTAGTACTAGTAACAAATAAGAGTGAATTCCGGTTTTTATCCCCTATTTTGACTTTTTTGACACTAATTACCCCATTTAGCGGGATTTCATCCATTATACCCCATTTAGCACAAGTGTTGCCACAATTTATCCTCTTTTAAATTTTACGTGCGTTTTGACCTACGGGTCATAATTTGTCAGGTCTAGCTGACATGCCACGTCAACGGGTTTTTTCTGTCTATTTTTCTCCCTACTAAACTCATTTCCGGTTTGAAGTATTCTGATGGGACGATTGTACTTGATCAGCATGTCATATTATCATTGAATAAATTATAGGAGAAATTGTTACCAATATAATCTAAAATCATGTATGCTTTTCTTCAGTTATCATATATGGCCTTAAGTATGGATGGTTCTGCAGATTAGATTAAAATGGTGTAAATATACTATTTTACTAACTCTGATGCACCTACATATCTAAATATCTAGGTAGCAAATATGTTGACTGAAGAGTATGTGTTGTTACTTGCTAGCTGTAAAGGAAGTTTGGATCTTTGTATCTTATGATGCATGCTGAAACGTGTTCGTTCACCGTATTAGAGTATATTATGATTGCAGCCACTAATTCATTTTTCTTTTTCTTGCACAAAGCGGATGGCAACAGAAATGTAGAGTGTTAGGCATATTTTACATGTCCGTGGATACAAGAATCCAGAGCCAGAGATGATTGAGAGGTATTTCTTTATTTATTTTGATATAAAGGAGAAGATGAAGGAATTGGGTTCCAACCTTTAGGACAGCGCTAATTATCAGAAGAAGGGGGCCAACGGGAACTCCATGATTGAGTTAACAGACGATGCGGGCATGGTGAACATGCTAGAGGAACTTGATGCTTATAAGAAAATCAGTTTGAATGTTAATTGGGGGAGAGCAACACAAACGAGAAGCCATGGGAGGCGAGCGTGGCGCGCGGCCGACTTGGACGTTGGACGTGCCGCGAGCGACCTCCATCGGCTGAGCCGGTCAGAAGAAGCGGCGCTGCCCAGTTCAGCAGTGAGAAAAATAGCCAGGAAAAACCACTGACGTGGCATGTCAGCTGGACCCGACAATTGTGACCCACCAGTCAGAATGCTCAAAAAAATTAAATGGGGTAAACTGTGGCAACATTTTTGCTAAATGGGGTAAAATGGATGAAATCTTGCTAAATGGGATAATTAGTGTCAAAAATGTCAAAATAGGGGTAAAAACTAGAATTCACTCAACAAATAACTGATACATCAAAAAAATAAATGCAGAATCACGAATAAAAAACGTAAGAACTTCTCAAGAAATAAAAGTAGACACAAGTAAAAAAATAGATATACATAGGCCTTTTTTGGTTCATAGGATAGGATTATCGTAAGAATAGAAATTTTGTAGGAAATGAGATGACATGTATCTCAAATCCTATGAGTAGAAATAGGAAATGAGATGTCATTTGATTGACATCAAAGGATTTTTCCATTGAGTCTAGGCTTATTTTTATTTTCCTATGAAATGTGGAGGATAGAAATCAATCCTATGTAGGAATAGGATTCCATTTCTATGAACCAAAGGGCTCTAAAGTAAAAAATCCTATAAGAATCCTATCATCTAGAGTTCCTATAAAATTTCTCCAAATCCTATAAGAATTCTATCCTCTAGAGTTCCTATAAAATTCCTCCAAACCAAAGAAAGCCATAGCATTTGCATTTAACAATTAGTCAGAGTGGTTGTTTATTTTTTTTATTTTTTTAGGGGAAGTGGTTGTTTATATATGAAACTTACATTGCGCATGGATAGCAAACTATTTGAGAAGAAGCATCTCTAGTACGATTGAGTAATGCGAACGGTTATTCGAATATTCCCTACAAAAAAAAGAATAGAAATGAATACAAATGGGGACCTATCTCCCTCATAGAGTTGCCACCGATGCTTAATAATATCATATCATGCTAGAGTTGGTTGTGGAAAACACAGTTCTCGATTCTTCGGTAGATCTTAGGAAATGCAGTGAACTCATCTGCGTTTCTGGCAGGCTTCACATGGCTACCAACGTTGTTATAGTTCAAATTCCTTTCATCGTCGACAATCATGTTGTCTAATGTTACAGAACCCTCTAATCCTCGGCTACCAACATTGACCGACAACAACGTCAATGCCGGCGACTGACGCTCCTCCTCGCAACGCGGCCTCCCGCGGCCGCTCACTCCTAGTGCCTCGCCTGGCCCTCGCCGATGTCGCATTTGGCATCGTCCTCTTCGCGGCTGGTGGACAGAACACGCTCTCGTTCGCCGTTGTAGCGTTCGACGCCGGCATTTAGAAGGCCCTCGGTGGCGTGTTCCAGTTGCGGTGGACGTGAGTGACCGGAACGCGATGGCCGGGCTGGGGTGATCGTCATGATGGACGCCAAGGTGCCGGCATCAAGGGCCGGAGCGCTCGTCAGTGGCGGGGGGAGGGGGGCCTGGGCCACGCAAGGGATGCCCGCGCCGGGATGAAGATAGAGGATGAGGTCGTGGTCAAGGTGAGCGGAGAAGAGAGGCTGGTGGAGAAGGTGAGGCTCGGGGTGTTGTTGGATTGTAGGTGCATGAGCATCGACGAGGGGCTGAGATACTTGCAACATCTCCTCTTCTAATACGTGTATACTAGATCATGATTGGCGCGCATTGTTGCGCCCATCCATTTTTCAAGTAGAATGATAGAAATTTCTACAAATATATTGACATGGAAGAACTGAATTCCTATTTCCAGTGAAAAACTTCTTAATCATCATGTACGCAAACCAAATATTCATGTAGGCAGACCAAATATTTATCATTTTACGTAACTGCCATCTTCTATAATTTATCAGGTCAAGTTGGCCATCCTCTTAGTATCATGTGTACCAAGATCGGAGTCCATTTGTTAGGTCCAGGACTGCGCTTGTTGTACTGATATGTTGATGTTTGAGATGACTTGTATTGACTTGTAGATCATGACACTTGATCTGGTCAATGATCTTGCTTTCCCTCTCCCTGCATCCATTCACTTCTCTCGTTATCTGAAATATCTGGTGTTATTATTGATTAGTTGATGTCACTAATTTTTATACCAATGGACATGTCAATATGCAAGGAGCGGTGTTTAGAAAGACTTAAGTGAAAAGAATGCACGCGTTGCTGGAACCATCTGTTTTCCCAACAGGATGACAGGAACTTATGCAAATATACAGAGGCACAAAGTATTAAAGTTGCTAAATGTTTACTTTCTCAAATGAGAAAAATACTTGTCTCCAACAAATTGTTTTAGTATACAAATACATGTATAGGGCTTGGATGGGTTAGGTAAGTAACATAAGTGTTAAAGACCCTGCAAAAGAAGTGTTTTAGACAACAACGTGAGAAATGCAGGTTAGCAAACCTATTGACATTCTTCTCTACGACGACCAGCACCAAGATATTTAATCTAACCCAGCCCTACAACAATTAAATTACACAAAGGTAAATAATAAGAAGAGAATGAAAGTAGTAATTTGAAGTACAAACAAATGATCATGGTCATGCATCATCCTAACTTCCTAAGACAATGGTAGTCTTACTGATTTCAAGTTGCAATTGTATTGTACCTATCCCATATGATGTTGTTGGCAGAACTCCCTGCACTTTGGCGAACTAAATAACAAACTGAATGATGATACAAGTCGCACCATTCTGGACAATAACATCACCTAACTAAACAAAGGATGCCCATGGCATGAGATGACATAACACTACACTTGGAGCTAGCTTAATGATACAGAGGTGCCAATTATTTGTGTTTCATATTGTCAAAGCTAGTCACCCGATATGTTTTTCAGAAATCTAGCAAACCATGGTGAACTCCTCAACAGTTGGTTAATCATTAGGATAAAATTATAGAATCATTTATATGATATTAAGTACGGAATGGACCACATCTACCAGAGCTTTCCTACCAAAAACAAATACATAAAATGCAACAAAATACTCCATGTTTTAGCAATAAAATTATTACCATGCAGAAAACTGAACAGACCCAAAAAAGGTGATTATGCATATCATTGTTTGCAACAGAGGTAGATGCGTGGGTGGCAATGAGTGGATCCTAGTTATGGAGATGGCCTTGAGCTGGTGAAACATCAGTCGCTACTGTCTTAACCCACCACTACTTGCACTCCTCCCACCTCTTCCTCAACTCCATTGCGGACAATTTTGTCAATGCATTTGGTAACGGAACCTAGTATGCAAGGAGACAAAATCATTTTAAGAACACAAACTCATTGATTTGGAGGCTGAAAAGGGGATTGTCTGAAGTAAATAGTTTGTCCCTTCTTCAACTTGCCTATTCTTAATGGAAGCAATGATCTTTTGTTTTGATTTTGTACCACTTCGTAACATTGATCTTGGACCAGCAGGAACCCTTTTCCAAAACCAATCTGAAGTTTAGAACCAAAACCTGATTAGAAATAAGCATATACTATTTTATTATCGGATTTGGTGTTGATCTCTGCTGCCTTACATGATCCTAGTTGAGGTCTTATCTCTCACTGTATCAATGCTTCCACATGCACCTCCACTCTCCAGGGATGCCTCCTGCATCTTTAGTCCTCCATATATTATTGCCCCCTATTGACAACAACAATAATTAATAGTAATACAATGGTGTGAATGATACACATATAAAAATTGTGTTCGTGCTATACTCAGGGATGCCTGAGAGCACAGATCTTCTTTGCATGTTCCAATTTGTCTCGGGGAAACTTCAAATTTGATAAGTGATTGGAGCAGAGAGGCGTTGAGGAATGTCTCGCACTTGAGCGACAGAACTAGCCCGGAGCAATGGCGGCCTGGAGGCGGGGAATTACCTGGCAGCTTGATGCTGGCGACCAACGTCGTGGCGGCACGTGCAACTGCTAAGCAAAAACAATTCCAGTGCCAAGCTCCAAAATGAAATCAATCGAGCACAGCTAGTATGAACATCACATGTACACACAATTTTTGGTATGAGAGGATATCTAATTGCTTCGCACAAAAATGAATCATACATAAAACGAAAAGAAATAGAAGGAGCCCTACCACAACCAGAGCAGGATGCCCAATCAGCACGGGGAGCTAGAGAGGATGAGCGAAGAGTGTGGGAGGAAGAATATATAGACGTACCACTCGGCACCGGAAGGATTGGCACATCAATCGCCATGAATGCGTGCATAGAAACTGAAGTATAACTGCGAGCAATTTCTAGCAGATGAGGCACCGGCCGGACGTCCCCCCTTTCCACTTCGCAGGCAGATCGACCGCGCCGGCTGGATCGGTCGGCCCCTTGTTCATCCGCATCCCGGGAGTCCGCTGGAACCCCTCATCGGCCGGATAGGCTCCCCTCGCGCGCATCGGCTGAACCGCGTGGCGCTGGATCCACTCGACCTCCTCGCGCGCTTGGTCTCCCTCGAGCGCCTCCTCTGTAATCCTCTCGCATACTGTCGACCGCTTTTTTTACGTTTTTTAGGCAATCTCGCGAAGCTTTTATTTCAAACCGTCACAACGTTTACAAGGATGAAAGGAATTCCCTCTGGCTGGCCTAGCTAAACATGATGACCAGACCCTAACTTTAGAGCATGCTTCGCTAAATTGTGAGCCTCCTTATTGAAGCTCCTATACTCATGAACTATATTACATGACGTAAAAGACGTAGCCGTCATCTTGATCTCTTCGATGATAGCTCCGTAGGTTGATCCACTCCCCTTCTTGATTTCTGACACAACACATTGGCAATCTGAAGCGAGATGTACACTGTTCAAATTCATATCTTGGGCTAGAGCCAAACCTTCCCTGATAGCTAGCGCTTCAAGGGTAGCTGCATCATTTTGATTTCTGAAAACATAGGCCGACGCGTCAAGGAAAGTGCCTTCGCTGTTTCTGCATATTGTACCCACCGTTCCATGGTTTCCTCCCCTACTCACTGCTGCATCAACATTTAGTTTCATAAAATTTTCGGGTGGTGCTAGCCAACCCGACCGCCCAGCTGTTGCACTCCCATGGGGCTCACTCTTTTGAGATAGCTGAAGAAGTTCTCCTAGGTAAGAGTTAACGAAGCCATGAACTGCATATGGGCTTTTGAATATATCTTCATATATTGCCTTGCGCCTCGCACCCCAGATGGCCCAAAGAGTTATTGCAAACCTGATAAATTCCTTCGGTTCCAAAGTTCTACCCATGACAAAGATCCAATCCTTAGCACAATCATGTTGGTTAATGCTTAGTTGATCCAGGATGGCTTCGGATGATAGCGCCCACGTGCTCCTGGACATAGGGCAGTCCAACGAAGCATGTCTCCATGAGTCATGAACACCACACAAACTGCATGCTGCAGAAGTTGCCATATTTCGCCTATGCAACACTGCAGCCGATGGGATCGAGTTCTTTGCCAATCTCCACATGAAGACCCTGATCTTCGACGGGACATGTACCTTCCACAACGACTTCCAATCAACTCCTTTTGCTTCTACTCTTGATGTACCCCGGCGACCCTCTAGCCACGCCTCTCTATTCAGCTTTGTGCGGGTGAGCATACGATAAGCTGAGCTGACAGAAAAGTGGCCCCGAGGCTCCTCACTCCAAGCCCAAAAATCAGAGATCCTACGCGTACATAAAGGTATCTTTACAATTGCTTCCGCGTCGAACGGTGTGAAGACAGCCTGCACCAGCTCTTCTCTCCAAGTTGCTGTTGATGTTTCTATGAGCTCTGAGACACGTCGAGGTGGATTCGGTACCAAGGAAGCAATCGGTCTCCTGAAACTCTCTCTTGGGATCCAGTTATGATTGCATATATCTGTCTCTTCTCCATCACCTATGCGCCGAATAATTCCTTGAGCAAGTACATCTCTTCCACCAAGTATCCCTCTCCAGATTTGGGAGGGGTGAGAGCCTAATTCTGCATCCAAAAGGGATCGATCTAGGAAGTATATCGCCTTCAATATTCTTGCACTCAGCGACTCCGGATCATCCATCACCCTCCACACTTGCCTAGTCAGGAGAGACAAGTTGAACAGTTCCAGATCACGAAATCCCATACCTCCCATATATTTTGGCATAGTCATTATATCCCATGCAACCCATGCTGGTTTCCTTCTGCCTCTATTGCTTCCCCACCAAAACTGCCGAATTATAGTTGTAACACTATCACACAGCCCTCTTGGAAGCCTGAAACAGGACATAGAATAGACCGGTATAGCCTGGGCCACCGCTTTTATTAGCACCTTCTTTCCAACACACGACAGTAATTTGCCCATCCATCCTTTCACTTTCTCCCAGACTCTATCTCTCAGATATTTGAAAGTGCCGTTCTTTGAGTGTCCAACTCAGTTGGCATACCCAGGTAACAATCACTGAGAGACTCATTGTGCACCTG